ACATATTATGGCTAAGCAAAAAAATTAAATCACTTTAATATAGAAAACGACAGAATAAACGAAAACACACAAATTTTATATTTGTCAATTTGACTAGTGATGCATCGAAAATATCGATGTTTTGCTTCGATGCATCGAAAATTTTCCACTCGATGAATAAATAGTCAATGTATCGATGCATCGTTGTTCTTCGAAAACAGACATCTCTGCTATATAGAAACCATTGTATAGGCTTACAAGTATGGAAAGCGCCATTTTGTTTGTTTACATTTGAAAACAGCTGAGATCACCTGATTTTCAATTCTCTCATTCTCCTCACAGAGTTACATTCAAGTTTCAGAAAAAACTTTAAAATGTAAATTGAGAAATATTTTAGAAAAATGTGTTTTTATTCATTTGAATTCAATAAAAAAGAAATTAAAAATGCGTGCCAAGTCTTGCATTTACAATAATAACGATAAATGTGTATGTTCCAGGCAATAATTCAAAATATTTGTGAAACTTATCGTTTTGCGCTAAAATACAACAATGTGTGTAAAATTCGTTGTCATTGCTTCTATTTTGAATATCATATTCGTGCCTGCCGTTGGAAAAAATAGGTAAATTTGTATTTATTTTCAAGAAAACATATCAGTTAAAATATATTTCTTTCCAGAGCGACATACGGACAAGTAAGATGATAAATTTGTATGATGAATATCGCGGAAAAACTTTTGTATCAAAATTTCTATTCTAATTTGCATTTGAATTATGATATCAACAGGGATGATTTGTTACGTATTTTTTGAAGACAATTTTCTTATAAATCTTGAGATTGTCGATTTATTTTAGAATTAAAAAAGGTAGTTTGTATTAAAAAATATATTTACACTAGCAGTATGTAAATTACTTTTATTCCGAATTGAAACGATTTTAATGAATATTCATGGTTACCATTAATAGTAGTATGACAGTTAGATCTAAATGAATATTTGACAAGAAAGATAGAATACAAGATTGCGCCGTCCTGGCGGCGATGACATATCTGTACAAAAAGTAATAAAAGTCGAATTGGATGTTGAAAGAAAATGTGAGAACAGCAAACTTTCTTAATAATAAATTTTTCGATAAGGAACGTGTTTTGATTGTGCTAATTTGTAATAGCCTTATTCATAAACAATAAAGTAACTTAAAAAGGCTTATAAATTGGAAAATGTTTGTAAACGGCAATTTAAAAAGCTTTTTAAAATTTTTATTTTTTATTAATAAGGCAATAAAAATATGTGATTTACAATAACTTTTAACAAAGGAAATACGAAATAAGGTGATTTTTGCGGAAGTGGGTATTAGTGAATTTCAGTGCATTTAAAAATTCAAAGTAGAGATAACATAATCATAGAAAAGAAGATTGCGCCCTGCTGGGATGATGAGTAAATTTACCACAATGAGAATATAACAATTAAGTGAAAAAATTTTATTTTTACAAATTTAGTGAGTAGTAACGCGTTTCAAGAACGATATTTCAGACAAATCGTTAATGAACAACTTTTTGTCCTTCCCGTCTGCTTTGGTTTTGGCAAAAAAGTAGATAAGCTCCTGACGGCGATCAAGTCATTTTAACCATAAAATAATATTATTTGCAAGAACCATTCACTAAAATTGTGACTAACTTTTTATTGTTTATTAATTATTTAAAAATTATAAACCAAAATTAGTAATATTTTTATGAATGTAGTTATAAAAGTTCACAGAGGAAACGCCGGAAAACAATGTATTGGCAACAACATAAAATTTATGGCAATTTAGATGTCAACAGAATAATAACTACGATAAAAAGGCATGAGAGAAGTGTGCGAGAAACGGTCAACAAATTTCTTATAAAATATTTTGATTTTTGCTGGGTGTAAATGAAAACTCAATGAGTATTAAGGAAAAGAAAAATTTGAAAATAATAAACAGAAAAAGAGATGGGTGCACAAAAACTTTAGTTAAATGTTTTTCCCAAATTCTTAAAAAGTAAGCAAATCGATTTTTTTAATGTTACTTTACATCTATTTTCTTTTTTATGAATAAGGTCATAAGCATGTACCGTTTTTATAGATAATTCTTATAGCAATATGCTATATATTTATTTATACACTTTTTGGCTGGCGAAATATGTAATTTTTCAACTTAATAGAAAAGCGTATTTAACCACATTACTTTTTTTTAATATTGAATGGCGCAACACAACAACTCTTTTTGTTGCACGAAACCCTTGAACACGTGCCTGTCATCTATTTCTTCTGTTTCGACATTTCGGTATTTTGCATTTCTTTCATTTTGACGTCATTCGCATTGTCAGATTTTTGAAATTCGTTTTGGTTCGACATTCTGCTATTTCATAATTCTTTCATTCTCATGTGATCCATCTTCCATTTCTTACCTTCCATTGCCGTTCGCATCGTCGAACGTGCCTGTCAAACACTGCCGCCATCATGCTTTTCAGTTTGGCAGGCACGTCCGCTGTTTGGCAGGCACGTCCGCTGTTAGAAAGAGAATAGACAAAAAGGGGCATAGGATTCCATACTTGTAAGTATATACGATGATAGAAACGTCGTTTCAGTTTTCCCAATTGTAGTCAGAATCAGATTTTATTGGAAATCGATACCGTACTCGGTTCTCTGACTATTGAGAGTACAAAAAAGAGAGTAAACACGGTTCTCTCTCTGTCAGAAGTTACCAGTTTTAGTCCGAGAATTTTTTGCTGGTAAATTCTGGTAAATGTGTCAAACGATCAGCTGTAGTGTGTTTGGCAACCAAATTGTAAACAAACGAAAAGTGCACTCTGCTAATTCATGTTGAAAAGAATCTAATTACTTGTGTAAGTGGATTCTAATGAGTTTGAAAGTATTTTTGGTTATTTACACGAGTGAGCTGCGCGTGTTTACATACAAATCAAGCAAAAATTTACAACCAAAATTTGGAGGTTATGTTGAAGTTGACAGAAGTTACCATTTTGACTAAAAAGCGATCCGGTACTCTTCAATGTTACTCTCTCCCACGGAGCGAATTTTTATTTTTTGACAGTTTTATTAGTTTTAGTCCGAGGAATACGGGATTGCACCTAATGTTTGGTTTAACACCTCTGGACTGTCATCGCGATTTCTTCATTGCCTAGTTACAGTTCAGTGATCTGACGTTGAGTCTTTCTTGTTAGTGCAACTGCAGCCAAGTTTCTTTCTTTCCGGTTAACCATGGTAAGGGGACGGCTCAATTTATTTTCTCGCAAAACGTTTTAAAAAAGGGAAAATTATATGTGAACGATTAGTAAACGAATGTGGTGTTTTGCCACAATGGCTCGCAATAAATTAATTAATTTTCTAGAGCGTTTCGAGTGTTAAAAATGTATTTGCAAAACTGTTTCACGTGGTACTATCCCCCGGGGTAGCTGCTGACAGAAACGTGGAGGCGCTAATAACTTTCGTCATTATAATCATATATACATGTTTTTATCTGTTTTACAGCCTTTCCAAAGGTTTGTACAGACTGGCCGTATTGCCA